ATAGAGGTATAGAATATTACATTTTAGAAAAGAAAAACACCAGCACCGTTTAAAAAAAAAAGAAAGAGAAAAAACAAAACAAATTTTATGGTCTTGCGAAACTACGAAAAACTGAATTGAAAAGATTTGAGCCTCGATTTCTCAAATAATCAATTGAACCACTCATAACTGATTGATGTTGTTGACTAGATGATGATGGTAATGAATTAATACGTTCATGAATTGATGGATCATCTGGTATGAGATAATCTATTTGATTAAATGACAGAAAAAAAGATTAAATAAATAAATAAATTTGTTTTCAAATTATTTTTTTTTCATTTACCTTGTGGTATTGTTTCCCATTCATCATTATTTAAAAGATCAATTACATCTTTTTCAACATCGTCAAACCAATAATCAGTAACATAGGCTCGACTTATTTCATTAACTTCTTCGTCCATCATGTCAATATATTGTTGAGAATATACAACTGGCTTTGGTCTGATTTAAGTAAAACAAAAAAGAAAGCTATTAGCACAAATCTCACCTGATTAAAATGTGAAACATGATATGACTGCTCTTGTTAATCACAAAGAGATTATTTTAACTGAGTCATCTTTGATGGTCTCTGACTAGCGTTTGTCATGGCCTGTTGAAAAGGTTCAAATATTTACTTGTATGCTTCAACATTTCATTTAGATCATGTTTCACAATAAATGATTAATAGAAGAAAAAAAAAATTAACTAACCGGCTACGGTACCGTTTAAATGTAAGTAATTTTAATAAATTTTCAAGTGTATGTGTTACATTTGTATTTTCAATTGGTATATCTTGTGATATACAACTAGTAACGATATTTGCATTTAATTTCGCAATATCACCACGAAGACGATCTGTTGTTAAATTATCGCTATTAAATTCCCTAAAAAAAAATTTTTGTTAGGTGTTTTTTTGTTTTGTTTAATTATTATAAAATTAATTAAAATATTAATTTTCTTACAATTGATGTAAACGAAATGGTAAAGCAATATGAAGATAAAATGCAATAACATTAATTAATTGACAAGCATGTGATAAAGCTGAAAGTATTTCATATAATTCATGAGAAAGTGTTGATTGAAGAGAATCAACATCAGGTGTTTTATTATCAACATCAGTTGTGAGAAGAACTAAAAAAGAAAAATTTTATTTATTCGAATCGAAAATAGATGATGTCTTTGTTTAAAAATAATTAAAATACATTTAGATATATCATTGATAAAAAAAGAAGGATTTTGTAGTAGAATGGAATGCATGAGGGAACATTGGCAGCTGTCGAATCGCTTTTTTGCTTGAGACTATTTTACTATTCAATTCATCATGATGAGTAGAGGCATAGAATCGCTAAGAGAATTTGCATATTCAGATATATTCGTTTTGTTTCTCTTGTTTTCTATATGAATCATGTATGTACTTTCTAGTGAGTTCCTATCGTTGCCGCACTCTTTTATATATATATATATATCTTTTGTAGTGGTGAAGACAGTATTAGAGCTTAGGGTGGGCTCATAATGGGATAAGCCCATGTAAAAGATTACTTTCGTCAGACTGAAAACTGGTTAGTGCTCGATTAACTTCATAGAAGGGTGAGAATGAATATAATTGGTAACAATAGGTTTTATAACGAGATAAATTCAAGAATTTTATATTTTGAAAAACGAGACATAAAATTTCTTTTCTAAAATAGATTTTATACTCGTATTCGTGTAATTCTTATTAAAAATATTTGTAATCAAATACTCATGATTAAAGTTAAGCAGATAGTTTAGCACGGAAAACTGCTTGTCACAGTGCTTTTAGACGAATTGATTGTGTTATTAGGACAGTTTAACAATCTTAACTAGGGATATACCAATTCCAAATAACTGAAAAATCGAACTCTATAGAAATTATGTGCATTCAAAAGTTATATCATAATCTTGATACCGTCTCAAAATGTACTTGGGGAATCTCTACAAATAATTCCAATGGAGTTCAAAATTACTCATACTTTGTCATATACATAGCTCGATCAAAATTTTAGTAATAATAACATCACATAGCATTCAACGATTGAACAACAGTAGAGTTCTTAGTACGTCAAATATTTGAATTATTGTCACAGACATAGAGAAAACAAGTGCATTATCCTTTCATCCAATACCAAATGCTTCCGGTTCTGAAACCAAAACTGGAATCGATTGGAATTTGAATTAATGCAATCGTAATCTTAACTTCATATAAACAACTGAAATTTATTTTTAATACTCCATATCAATGATTTCGACATCCAATTTTTTCTTCATATTTAATAAATGTAAACAAAAATGTTTTGTAAACCGAAATAAAATACATACGTTTAGCAACTTGATAATCTCCATTAGCTGGTAAACATGAATTAACAATTTGATATCTATCTCCTCCTAAACTTAGTAATTCATCATTCTCGGACCAATCACTATTTGTTTCATCAACAATTGGTTGTTGAGCACTTGATAAAGCTCGTATTGTTGATGCAAGATCTCTAAAAACAAAAAATATAATTCTAAGTGAATATATGAAACAAAGAAAATAAATTTTACTCTTTAATTGATGATATATGTTCAATAGGAAATACATATTTATATACTTCATTAAGACGTTGTCGACGAATAACATGTAATTTATTTTCTTGTTCAATTCGTAATTCATTTTTTTTTCGTATTTCATCATTCGATGAATTTAATACCATATTTATTTCATGTAGTTTTTTTTTAATTAATTGTATTCGTAAATTTCTTTTATCTATACGTTGTTGAGTTTCAGCTTTAATTTTTTTGTCTAAATAATTATATGAATTGAAAAGAAAAAAATAAATATTTTTCTTTTTACTTCGTTCAATTTTTTCTCGTAATCGTGTCATAGATTGATTAACAAGATTAAGACGATTTTTTCGTATAAGAATTTCTTCATACTAAAAATTAATAAAAAGTTAAATGAAATTTTATTCGAATTAAACAAAAATTTAATTAATTTTAATTTTAAAACGAATATTAAATTTCAGAAATCTTTTATGAATAACAATGTGTTGTTAGACATAACTAATTGATAAGAAAAATTAGATGAACAAAAATTATCAACAAAGTTTTTATTTATCAAATGAACCGTTTCATTTTGCTTTGACTTGTCCATTAACAATTATGAATTTAATTATCTCGATCTTAATAGGGAAGTCTCAAAACTGATGAATCATTTTTGAGTCAAGGTTCTATGCATTATGAAGATCATAATAAGCAATGAATACCCTAAAAAGAGTTCAAGTGCTTAGCTTGTTGCTATGGAGATACTGGGTGTTGATGGTAGTTTTTAAGTCAATGCTGTGCTCCCGAAAGAAAAACTAATTATTGAATTTCGACTTGAAACTTTACACAGAGACTGATCTTAACGAGAATAGTTTATTGTGAAGGTTTCAGGTCTTTTCATGTTTTCCTATTCTAAGATATGGCTATAATAAAAGCATATCTCGCACATCGCAGATGCGATGTTCTTATTTCAACATAGGAATACATGAAAAGACTTGAAATTTTCGTAATAAACTATTCTCGTTAAAATGTGTTTCCGCGCAATAGTTTCAAGTCGAAATTCGAAAATTGGTTTCCCTAAGGAGAGAAAACAATATTGACTTAAAAAATACCGTCACCATGTAGTATCTTCATAGCTATCACCGAAGAACTCGAACTCGTTTGAGGGCATCCATAGCTCATTAGAGTCTATCAGATGCACATAGTCCTAACTCAAAAGTGATTAATCATTTTGAGAACTTTTTTCATTAGTTCAGATATTGATATCAGGATGAGTATCTTTTTCCATCATAACAACTGATTATCAATCTCATAAAATCTCGCAATCTATTTTTTAAACAAAATGATTCATTCATAAGTATGTTCAATTATTTAATTATAATCGATTTTGCTTTTAGTTGTTGACTTTCATACAAATTCTAATATAAAAAATTCGGATTATTGTATAATATCGAAATATATCTAAGCATAATAGTAAGATCATACTCGAGTCCACCTAAACTCTAATCGTGAATGTATCATCATAGTTTATTAAAATTCTTTCTAAACGATTCATGTGGGTCAAATCGGGCAAAAACTGTCGGTATACCGACGATCTTTGTAAAGATTTTATACTTTACCATTTGATGTAGTCCAATTACTGGTTCCATTTTTGTTTGATATCTAAAAAAAATAGAATATAATCTCATTATTTGTTTTGTTTTTTTTTGTAAACATCCAATAAAACTTACTCGGCTTGTAAAATTTTTTTTTCGATACTGAATTTTTTTAATAAGAACATTCGATCAGAACATCTAGAAAAAAAAAACAAATCGACTGAAAAAAAAATGCGCATAAAATATTATCTATTATTACTGTAAATGAGCTGGTGTATTAATTGAATATTTATTTGAATATTGTTGAAATTCTTCATAATCATTTGAATTTAACATATTTATTAATGTTTGTCTTCGTTTATTTGAACATGTATCATGTTTTGATGGACAAAATCGTCCTGTATTAACACATTTTGCACATGTTAATGTTGCATCATCAACTATTTTTCGACATAAACAACATTTATATGATGATATACTTGTTTTTGTATTTCCATGTATATTCATTGAAACTGTTGCTAAATTATCATCATTATGATTATCAATATTTGAACGAATATTTTCTTTATATGTTGAAAGTAAAAAATCATTAGGTGCAATTGTTTGTGTCATTACATTTAATGGAGGTGAACATAAACCATTTGAATTAGGTTCATCTTCACTATCCATTTGTATTTTTTAATAGATCTAAAAAAGATAAAATATATATATATATTTTTTTTCATTAAAAATAATTAAACATATTATGCTCGAATGATCATTAAGAAAAATAATATCACAATAAAATTGCAAGCAACATAGATTATGAATAATAATATTAATAATAAGATGTTCATGGCAATATTATTTAGTTGTATGCATCACAGGAAAACGAGTCAAAAGTTGAGTTATTGCAGAATTTTTTTTACCAGTATTAATACTATTAGATAAATAGTCTTGACGTTCTTCATCAGTTCTTCGTTGACCAATTTGTTCACCCATACGAACAAGTGTTTCCATAGAATTATTCGAATTATGTCGTAAATCATCATCCCATTTTACCACACCCGCTTTGAAAACAACAACGACAGTACTACCACCATAAGCAAAAAATCCTAAATAAATAAACAAAAAAAAAAATACATTCTGTAATAAATAACTTAGATAATTTTCTTTATCACTATTTTACCGTATGTTGAAATTTCTCTGTCATTATACTTCTGTTTATTCACTAGGTATAGTCCTTTTGTTCTATGAAATATTTGATTATGTCACTAAATATACAGACAATTCTCATCGTGGAGGTCGCTATGGTCAACGCTCTGTCTTGATTTCCTGACGTTTTGCTCATTTACTGTAGCAATACGTTGCAAAGGCTATATTAAATAAACTAGATATTCATCTTAACTGCCAACTTCCTTAATTAACATCAATATGTGACACATTCTAAATCATTATTAAATCTAAATTTTCATATCTTACCAAGTTCATCGCCTTTATTAATATATTGATTAGGTTGAACAGTAAAATTAACTGATCCAACAAGTAATGCACCAATAGCAACAAAAGCGACTTTTTCAAAAGATTCATTTTCAATTGTAATCATCGTTCGTTGATTTCTTGTTAAAACATCTAATTTTTCTTTAATTGCAATTGGATTAACAGTATAATAAGTTCCAACTATTGTTTTCATATGAGAACCAATTTTTCCATTAATTGGTGAATGGAATCGATGATAATCAACAGGTGCTAAACGAAATATAGCTATTGAACCACCATCAAATTCATCTGCTAATTTTTCATCATTAAATAAATCTTTAAGAGAAAAATTATGTCCTTTTATCCAAATACGTGTTGCATCATTTATATTATTAAATATAATTAAACGACAATCAGCAGCTGAAACAATTATATTTGGATTATCTTGACTAGCTATTTTTCTAGCATTTGATTTTAATTTTCGATAAAAAAATTGATTAAATGTTTGATAATCAGATATATTTGTAAGAAGTAATTCATTTAAATTAATTTGATACATTTTAACAAATGCTGATATATGTTTAGATGATTTTGGATCATCAAATGCTTTACCTAAACGTATTGTTTCACGAGCAAAAAATTTTTTTATTGCATTTGTATGTAATAATTCACGTTGAACAGGACCACTAAATAATAAACGCATACCATATTTATGATATGATGGCATTTGTTCATATATTAAATTATTTGTACGACGATCAAGAACTTTGAATGCATATTTAACACCAGTACCTTCATAATTAAAAAATTGTTGAGGTAATTCGTGTTCAAGATGATGTTTAACTGATTCTTGTGTTGGTACAATTGAACGAAAGAAAAAAGCATACCAATCTCGTGGAACATATGTATGTTCAAAAATAGTTCCATCAGCAGCTGGACCATTTGAACATGTTTGATCAATCATATGAGAAAAAGCTGTTTGAACTTGACGAATTTCTTCATCATCAATCGGTGGAAGTTCAGGTGCATCGTCTATTAATACTTCATCATTATTACTTGCCGAAGCTACTTCACGAATAGTAGGATACATTTAATCTAAAACAGTTGTATGCTTCTCTGAAATATAATAAATTTCTTTTTCTCTAATGTATATAAGATAAAATAATTAAATTAATTTCTTCCGTTTAAAATATTTTCACTATATTCATCTTCATATGCTGACCATATGAAGAAGAAAACTAAGAAAAAGCTACTTTTCCTTTTTTTCTAGAGTCCATAATAATAAAAACAAAATAAATTTTAATAATCTTTGAGATTTCTTTTTTTTTTTGAAAAAAAAAAGTCACGTTTTACAATAAATAGATCAATTCTGTTGTGTTTGCACAGGATGCAACGTGTGCGTAATGAAACAAGAAAACATCAAGAGTAAAAAACAAACACTAACAACAGAAAAGGAAAAAAAAGTATCTCTTTTTTTCATATATATATATATTTTTTTTTTTTTTTGAAACAAAAAGACAAGAACACATCTGCGATAATAATAATAATAAGACAAAAAAAAAAAGAAGAAAAAGAAAGTCAATAAACAAGTGAACTGACATAACTACACAGAAAACATAAATTTTATATCGGTTATTCGCATCATTTAACAATCCAAGAGATCAATTTAAAAGACAAATCAAAAAAAAAATACCAAGGACCGGATCGGAATTATTTTTTTTTAAAAACATAAACAAAGAAAAACTTAGAACCCATTCGTGGAGAATTTGAGCGATGTGTTGCTAGAAACTTTATCATTCCGATAAACGAATAAAATAATATGAGGCAAACAAAAAGCAGCAGCACCTAGAAGAAACTTAGGCTAACCTTCATATTTATATACTGTCTTAAAGTCAAAAAAAAAGGAATAAAATTTTAATGTATAAGTGTTTGTTCGGGTGGTGTTGGACATCTTAAGGAATTTGTTGATGATGATGATACAAGGGCTGCTGTCGTATTTGTTAATTCGGCACATAAATCATGAAAAAATTGTTCTGTTTCTTCAAGTGTTGTCGTTTCAGATAAATTATTATTATTATTATTATTATTATTATTGTTATTATTATTATTTTCATTTAAAATTAAATTTTCTGTTGAAATTTTTTGTCTTCGTTCAGCACCAATTGCACGTTTTAATAATAATGTTACATCAGTTTCTTGTTCAATATCCATTGTGTCACACGTTGAATCATTTGTTTCATTATTACTTACAACAGTTACTATATCAGAATCAATATCCATATCAATTTCATTTGAATCACAATTTTCATTTAAATCAAGTATCCATGAACTGTTATTTGAATCATTATTTGTTAATAATTGCTGTTCAGAATTGATTATTGTTGATACTGGTTCATTTTCAATTTTTTTAAGAAAACGCCAAACTAATAAACGATTTCTTAATGATGCTTCAATAGGTCGTTGACGTTGACTTATTGTTGAACGTTGTAACTAGAAATTAAAATTTTCAATGATTAGTTTTGTTTATTTTTTATTTTTATTTTTTTGTTGTTTTTTTATTTTGTTTTATTTTATGTGACACACCTTTTCATATGATAATAAAATATACAATTGCGATAGATCAGTTGGATTAGACATTGTCATAAGATAAGCAAGTATCTCTAACAAATGAAAATGCAAAATGTCAGATTTTTTTATGTACTTATTTAAATACGAGAAAAAAAAAGAAAAGAAATATAAACAAAGGGAAGACGTAGGTGTATGGAAATTTCTCCTTTTTTTTTCTTTTAGTTTTTAAGTGAATCATCATTTCAATCGGCATACGACCTTAACTTAACCCAGAAAGAAAGAGAATAATGAAGAAATAGTAAACAAGTAAACAAGAAAATTTTATTAAATATAAATATGTACTTTTATTTTGATATTAATTAGTTTGACAAAAAAAATAAGACGTAAAAGATTTTTTTTTAGTTAAATAAATATTAGATAATGCATTTATGCACTTTGATGATGTTCGGTCGTTATGAGAGTGCAATGAAATGTATCTTTAAAATGGCAATAGGTTTGCTTAATCGAGAGGTTGAAAAAAAAAATACAGTAGAATTAGTGGTTGTATTAAATAATCCTTTCAATGTATCAAAATTGAGTTCTTATTAAATGAATAGATTTTTATCAGAACGAAATCAGGTTGTTGTGATTTTATTCAATAGAATTCCCATGAAATTAGCTTTTTTTCTTTAATTATAATTAAGATGAAAGTCAAGCTTTTTCTTCTTTAACGCATAAGTTATTTAAAGTATACTAAAAGTGGTGGCAGGAGTATTTTTGAGTCCTTGTAAAAAGCTTAAAGAAACTTGTTCTCTATATGGTCTGATATTGTGATCTTGTTGTAATTAATATCATAATAATAAAATTTCGACAAGAGAGTTGTTCGTTATAATATGTGATAATATTATTAGATCACATTTTACCTTCGATATGTATTGTCTTCTCTCTTTTTTTTCATCGCCTCTAATGCCTAGCCATTTATACATATTCGAGTATACAAAAACTGTCGTCAGTAGAATAGAAAAGAAATACAGAAAACAAGTTCCTTCGTGGCTTCATCTTCTATACTTTGATTTCAAGATTGAAAACTGCAGAGAATAAATGTGACTAACAAGAGAACGTTTTCAAATAATCGATTGCTTTCTCACCGAAAACTAGTGGATCATAAGTTTTCAATCATATTAATTTCGAATATGACTATAAGAAATCATCTTAGGCCTTTATATACTGATTTTATAGAAAACTAGCATATAAAAACTTAAAGAAGTTTCTTATGGTCATATTCAAAATAAACATGACCAATAACTCATAATCCAGTAGCTTTTGATGAGAAAACAATTGGTCAGTTGAAAATGTTCTCTCTCATAAGAATAGTTGATTCAATGAATTGAAAATGTTTAAGTGAGGATCTTTTGTATAGCCTTCTCTTAGTTTCGAAATCAACGATATGATCTTGTAGATTTTGAAATATTTAGAAAGACTTTTACATTGTATGTTAATTGTTTAATAGTATAATATTGAATATCATACAAAATAATTCTATTGATAAGTTTATTGATTATTCTAGAATAATAAAATTTTTAAAACAAAAAAGTCTAAAATTTTTTTTTTTTTAATTTTTTTTTTGTTGTTTTTTTTACAATATTTTTCGCTACATCTATTATCACATTTTATTCAATTCTAATTAAATTATTAACTAATAGAAAAATAACTATTTTGTTTTTTTCTTTTCAATTTGTTATATTAATTTGATAATTTGTTTTAAATAATTCGAATAAAGTTGTAACAATTTCACCTGTTATTACTTCATTTGTATTTCTTTTAAGTAAATATAAAACAAGTGTTCCATCATGACCAAGATAATCTGTTAAAAAATTTTTCACTATACGATTATGTTCATTTGATAATGAAATTGAGTTAGATCGATCAGGTAATTTTCGTTGTGGTGTTGGTGTTCGTGATTGTTCATCAGATGTTGATGTTCTACTACTTTCAATAGTTTCTCCATCATCTGGAATTGGTATACTTAATTGTTCACGTATACTTGGTAAACGATTTGAATCATAATTTTTTCTTGATATTCGATTAGTATATGATGATACACCACTATGATGATGACGAATACTATGACTTGATCTATAATGTGAATGTACAAATGATTGATGATGATGATGATGACGATGAGAAAAAGAATGTTGTCGATGAATTATTGATGGTTCTTGAAATGGATCTTGTGGAAAATGATGAATATTTATATGTTTCATTGATGATAAATAACGTATAAGATTTGATCGATAAAATTTTGGATAAAAAAATGATATAATCCAATAGATAAAACCAAATAATGTAAATAATGTTGTAAAATAAAGCCAAAACCAGATAATTAAAAAAATTTTTTCATTAAATAAATTTATTGGTAAACTACATTGAACAGTATAAGTATGAACATTATCGGCTAAATTTCGAACAGCAAAATTACACCTAAATAAAAAAAAAAGAAGTTCATTAAATTATGATGTATAACAATTTTTAAATTTGAAACTTTTTTTCCAAAACAATCTTTAAGAATCATATTTATTATAATTGGAGATTATATAACGTAATTGATACTCTTTTTTTATCTATAGATATCATTTTAAATGGTGTATCAAATAGATATGTGAGAGTCTAGGACGAATAATTAAAAAAATTTATAAGGTTCGAAAGTACAAGACAAAAAAAAAGTTATTCGAACTAGAGCTAATAATTCTTGTTAAATTCTCTATGATTTTTAGCGAATCAACCGTTAGTGACTTGTCCCGAGTCATTCCATGGGTTGTGATACCGAGATTTGAATACAGTGCCTAGTATACACCTATCGAATAAAGTCGCCACTCAACTGTGGCGACTGAATTTAGAAGCGATGACCAAAAGATAAGCTGTGACTTTTCTTTGCCCTTTTGAAAGATGATTGTACTTACATTATTCAAAATAAATATAGTTTTAAGCCTATAACCTGCACTATGGATGAGAAACTGTAATAACACCATCATGTACTGTTTTATTGATGAATGATTTGAACTCATCACAAGATTATGATTATCGTAAGAAAATATATTTTATTGGTGATGAATATGTAAAATTTATTCGAAGTATTCTAACAGAAGAAGTGACAAAGAAATAAGTGATTTACAAAAATTAGATTTTTCAATATAATCATGTTCATAAACAAAGGATAAATGTTGTTTTCGATGCAATAAAATGAAGCGAAAAATTTTGATGAAAAACTAGTCGACGTTCGGACGAATAGAAAATATTTATGATATGTTGAGAGAAAAATTACAAAGACAGGAAAAGAACAATAAAGAGAAATGGAAACATTTTGTCTTTCTGTATATCATCAAATGATAGATAAAATACCAATACCATTATAATTCATAATCGATTATGATAGTAATCAAATACACGAACGTTGACAAATCGATATACCGCGGTTCTTAAAATTGATTGTATAAACAAGGGATGGCTTTGTTTTCCTAATATCTTAAGAAAGGTTCAATGTATTAAAATGCTGATTTTAGCAAAATATAAATCATATTTTATAGTTTACTAGAGTCTTGTTTTTTCCCCCACCTTGTACTTGGCACAAATAAACTATGAAACATACGCTATATTTTACCAAAAGCTACACCTCAACAAGTTGAAACCTTTCTTAACATGTTACGAAAACAAATTTATCTCTTGCTTATAAGATCAATTTTAATTGATAAAATAGTTCACGATAGTATTGTTACAGTTTCTCATTCATAGTAAAAGGTATAGGCTTGAAACTTTGTTCATAAATAGTTCTTGAGACTATTAGAATATTCTAAAAATTTTAACCAAGATTAATGATTACTCTCAAGTAGGAGTCGTTCTTTTTAACTGAAATTTTTAGGATATTCTAATGGTCTCAAAAGGTATTCATGACCAAAGTTTCAGGTTAAAATTCGTTTGTTCGATATTTTTATAAGTACCATACCAAGAGTAAAAAATCCTATGGAATGGTCATAACCCTAGAATGACAGCATTTGTGAAGGAATCCTTCTAAGATTTTTCTAGTCTCAACAAATCCATCCCTAATGAGAGGTGTCTCATTTCAAATGCGAGGTACTATCCAAGGTGGCTCCCTCATAAGTAGGTACAATAACTTGCTAAAGTTGAAAAGAATTTGCTTTTGTTGAATACAAGAACAATGAATTTTAAAACGGTTTCAGAATATCTGAGACATCCTTTATGTGTCATCGTATTTAAAAGTCAAACAGATTATTTAACATGTATGTCATTAAATTCTCTCGACAAAATTTTCGTCGCAATTGGAAAATAAACAATTGAGATTCACAAGTTTTTCCTTTACAGTTCTTTATATCTATGAATGTTATTTATCGAATTTAATATTATAATGTTCTCAAAAATTATTTTGTAAATTTCCAATTATCTATTTTCAATAAACGATTCGACTAGAATACATTTCGTCTTCATTGCCTTACTTTCATAAATCATATTTTAACGAAAATTTTTCCATTAGAATTGTTACTTGTTTACAAAAGAAAGTATACTAATAAAAAAGAATAAGTCAACTATATTTACTAAACTTACCATGTTACTCTTGGAAATCTTTGTATTACTGTCCAATTTTCATTATTTCCTCTAAATAAAGAACGTATGACAGAAAAACCATACATATGATAATCATTTCCAAGAAATAAATTGAGCAAATATAATTGTCCCAAAGCATTGAGCAAATAAAGAATTTTAGTTAATAAAAAAGACCACATTAAATGATTGTCACACATTGTTATATGATTATGTCGTATTAAAAATGATAAAAATGTTGAATATTTTATTGAACGTAATTGTTCAAAATATTCTAGACGTTTTTGTCTATGAAATTCAAGTATTCGATCAATATAACGTGCTAAATATTGAATAGATGTTTCACGTATATTTGATGTATATGTATCTATTATACGAGCTTGTGTTACAAGCATACCTAAATCATAACCACTTTTTGTATTTAATGTTGACCATAGAAGAGATGGAATATAAAAAAATATTGCTTGTATAATAAGAATAAATGGTACATATTGATAAAAATAAATAAATTGTTCAGTTTTTGGATCTGGATATTTTGGTAATAAACGATCAAATGAAACAACATATGAATTTGATACCCAACATATATTATTTGTATATTCAACATGTGTACCAGTAAAATGTGCTGGACAAAAACATGCTATAGGTTCACCAACATATTGTTTTGTTGATACAAGCATTGTAAATATAACAAGTAGAATAACAGAATAACGACGTGATATACGATCATAAAAATCATCATCACATGCACCATCATGTCCATGATGACTGACCTTAGCAGCAGCATCGAATAGAAATATTGCCATACTAAAATAGATAATATAGAAACTTGAAATAAAGAATTATCCATTCGAATAGTATTAGGAGATTTGCCGATCGAACTATTATTAAAAAGTGAGTAGACATGTGCAGGATAAGCTTTTTTGTACTTTGATTGATGAGAAAACCTCTTCAGCTGCCGGCTTCCGATTTTGATAATTTGTTTATCTATAGATACTACATAGTGTTCTAATAAAAACTCTAAAAGGATTCGGGTTCCTATTGATATTCGACTAAGCTATTGAATTTTTAATAAGTTTATTTTCTAGAAGTTTCAAGTTTTCAGAAAAAGTCGTATTTTCAAATTTTGATCTGAAATTTTAGGCATATAGACAACTCAATTAGAATAACTTTCATAGGAAAATTCAGAAGTTTTGAACAAAGTTTCTTCGAAATATGAAGCTTTCAAAAAAAAAATACATGTTGTATATACTACTCATAGACCAGGATCTATGTTTTAAAAATCTAATATATCAAAGAAACTTTGTTCAAAAGTTCTGAATTTTCCTATAGAAACTATTCTAGTTGAGTTGTCTATATGCGTAAAGTTTCAGATGAAAATTCGAAAATACGAGTTTTTCGAAAACTTGGAACTTCTAGAAAATGAACATATTAAAAATTCAATAACTTAATCGCATATCAATGGAAACATGAATCATTTAGGGTTTTTATTAGAATACTATGTAGTATCTATCAGAGACCGTCACAGAGCAGGGCAGAAATTTTTGCCCTGATGCCCTGGTCACTTTTTTCTGCAATAAACCAGAGTTGTAACCGGCCCGGCGAAACCGGCCTGGACCGGCCGGTCCGGACCGGTGCCGGGCCGGGCCGGTTAGAACAGCTAGACCGGCCGGTTTTTATCGGTTTTTGCCGGTTTGAAAAAGTTGTTTAATTATTAATTTTTTAATTAGATAATAGTATTTATTTCTGTTCATTACAATTTTTGAAATGAAAAGAACAAGAGCTTTATTTTTCGATGTAAATTCAAATTTTTCTCAACATTAAGTTTCTTCTTAAAAGATTTCTATTATCTCCTATTTACAACATCTTAATAATCAGAGCAGTGTCACATATTGATTATTATTCTTTTTTGAGTATTCCTTTTAATAATAATTCAATTCTTGTTAACATGCCGACACATGATGGATTAAATTAATTAAAAAGAGAGTAGGCCGTCAAGCTCATTGTGCATATAGATATACGCACTTTTGTTTATATGTATTTATGTGTCACATTAGTTTGTTAATTTAATATGTATCGTTATGATATATTTTTTGTGTAAATTTCGTATATAATAAAAAAAGAAATTTAAATCAATTATCAGCTTTAGCAGAAAAGAAGTTTATTTTGTCCAGAACGTATTCAATCGTAGAAGTTTGTTTTATTTTTTTGCTATGAAAATGATAATATATATGAAAAGGAAAGTGTAAAAATCAATTTATGGATAAAAGGTCTATGGCTAGAACTAGTTTTATCATGTAAAGAAAACTCATACGTCTGCCGGTTTTTGCCGGTCTAGAAATTTTTTCAGACCGGCCGGTGACCGGCCGGGCCGGGCCGGTCTGAATTTTTTTGACCGGTTACAACCCTGCAATAAACAATATCTCCGAGATTTTTGAGCTAATAACGGTGATATCATGATCATTTACAACAGATGTCGTCATCAGTTGGTCAAGGTAAGTGATTTCAATGGATGTGATTCAGAGGCCGAAACGAGTCAAAAAAATTGAACTCAACTTGGCTCGCCATAAAGTTTAAAAAGTTTCACTGGGTTCAAATAACGAATGTCTAGAAGTACATTTTCATAACAAGAATAAGAAGAATTCAGTCACACAGTACACTTATATGGTAGTTTAATACAATTGTGAATCGTTTTTTTTTGTGAGACTTTGGAGAGCAAATGATTGTCTATGTCTACCTCTTGTAACTATCTCAGACTTGTCAGTTATTTCTCTTTTTCTATCACCTTCATGTGATAAGTGATCAAATAACACTATGTATTACCAACTCTGTTACATATTGCGTATTGATTACTTCTGTGGATTTGTGATTAGTCAATTCTTTGTATTCGAATTAATTTTTGTATAGACACTAATGCATTGAATACAATGAGCGTTAGTGTACGTTATTCATTGTAGTTTATGTAATGCCATTAGTTTATCAGTGTCTATTCATCGTAGTGCTTTGTTAGACTTTTTCATGGTAATGAATTAATTTTGAATCCTTCTGATTCAACTGACAACAATAAAGACTAATGCTGCGAATGAAAGAATCATGGAGAAATTTCAAAAAAGTCGAGTCTCTCGAGTCAAACTCGACTCGGCTCGACTCGACAGAAGGTCTGAGCAGACTCGATTCGACTCGACTCGACTGGGTACATGTCTCAAAACTTCTCATTCAACTCGACTCGTTTTCGGTCTCTGATGTAATTGTGGCATTTTTTATGATTTCATTGGATGCAATTTAGTCTACATATATAAATAAAAGGATGGATAAAAAGAAGGGAAAACGTCGAACGATGCGCGTTCATATGATAAAACTATTTACTATGTTTATTTAATCTTTCAATATTTTTTTTTCCTAATACTTGCATTTTCTCCTTGTGATAATTTTGATTGTTTTTTATGCTCAAATGTCATGGACGTTTCCTATGATGATCCTGGTTTATGTATAACATTTCTTTCGAATTAATGTAAATAACATGTACATGTTTAACCTGAAAATGGCTATATACTTTTAACATATTAGCAGCTCTATTAATTAGCAAGATCAAATGAAATGCCCTGCCCTGTCCTGCCCCTGAGGGCAGGGCAGGACGAAAAAATTTTGCCATGAGTTAGTTTCAGGGCTGGGCAGGGCAAGAAAAAGTGCCCTGTGACGGTCTCTGGTATCTATCGGCAAAACAAAATCATTAAAATAGGAAAAGGGCGACAGAAGAGATTTTCTCGCGAAAAAATTTTTCTAACCTTTACCTTACTCTATGAAGTTTTTATTTTACTCTTCCTTAATTCTACTCTATTTGGAAGACTCTAAAAGTAATAAATAGCGAAATTGTATCATATTAGAGATATGTTGAGTAAGCTTTTCTCGTACCCTGATTGACGAGGAAATTCATCTGACTGAGAATCTTCGTTTGAGCTCATAGGTAAGACTCATAAAGTAGATAAAAATCCAGAATGAGTTCGTGCCATTGGGTCTTTCTTCTCGAGTTATAGCCATTTTACTAAACTTTCAACGTATTGCAGGATATCACAAGAAAAATCACAATAAGAAGTTTCGTCCTGAACTCCTTCACAATAATAATTCTCATGGGCCTTATTATATCCTGAAAGTTGCTGCTCAAATAAACGTTATTGTTACACAAACGCTCGAAAAATAGTCCAGTTCTTAAGCATATAATATCTTAAGAAGTAATAATTCATTCGAGTTGAAACTTTCAGAATATCCTAAGAATCATAAGAGTTAGTGTTAGGGAGAATTTCAGACCGAAATTTCTTATTGCGACTTTTCTTGTGATATCCATATCTATACTATGAGTTCTACCTATGAGCTCAAACGAAGATTCTCAGTCGGATAGGTTCCCTTGTGAGATACTTTTTATTCTTACCCTACAGGGTAAGATAATTCTACACATCTCTAAAATTAATCTATAAAGATCATTGATTTATTCGATAAATATTTTCCAAAATAGCAAAATATTTTTGATATTAGCCAGATAAATATCCTTGAAACAGTATCTGCCAATTTGACATTATTAGATGACAAATATTTTTTTATGATCTATTCACTGACATTTACGAAGTTATTTTTTTTTTCTATTGCATAATTGATAATCATAAATTAATGGATCTATGGCCTTTATTTTATTTTCATTGAAAAAGTCAATTACTATAGATGTTATTTTTCTTTTGTTTCTGAACAAATATATGATAGATATTATTAATATATTCTTTTATCGAATTGTTAATATATGTTTTTATTTAGAAAATTACATTATATATCTTAGTTCTATTGTAAATCACCTTAGTGAAAGATTTATGTCATTATAAAATATCGTTTATCATATAGAAAAAAAAAACATATTGATCATCAACCAAAACGAAGAGATTATATCGAGCAGTTGTCTAGGTCGTATAATTCTTTTAAAAGGTTTTCCAAAAGATTATCTTCTCAATTTAGTCATGATAATAGTCAAACGAATTTTCTATCAATTAGAAAGTAACAACTTACTGTTCTAATGCTTCAAACACCCACCAATGGAACATGATAATTAATTAAAATTAAATATTTAATTATAATTAATTGAGATTTTTTTTCTAGAATATAAATAATAAATTAAAATAATAAATAGAAAATTAAACGAAGATTTACAGTTGCATGTAAGTAAAAGGAAGAAGTAAGAAAGTCACTTGCATTTTTTTTTTTTATACAATGAGTTACATCATATTTCTTATGAGTAACATAGATATACTCTATTAACCTTGCTCTCGTTGTCGTTTTTTTTTTTAAATAAGCACTATTCTAGACAACTGAGTGCATCAATCTGCATTATCCTTTTCTTCCTTTTTACTTTCTTTTTTCTTTCATCTATTATCCGTCAATTTTTTTTTTCTAGAAATCTGTATAATTTTTTCTGCAAGCATCTCGACATAATGTTTTTCTTCTTTTCTAATAGAGAAATCTTAGTGTATATATGTAGATATAATAAGCGTGAAAAAAGGCAGACAGACCTTTACATATGATGTAATTAACCAAAATAGCAGAAAGCTTGATTAAAAGCCAGTTAATACAATAAAGAAAGAAAAAGAAAGCTAGTGCCTATAGCTAAATGTACTTGATGTTAATTATTCTTTGTTATTATACTATTGAATAATTTCGTTTATTGTACAGGAATAAACAGTCAAAAAATTTTGGAATATTTAATTGTGAATTCGATGTTTGACATATTTGACATGTTATATAGACATATTTATACTTGACTCTACAT